GTCTGAGTATTTTATTTTGAAATCGTTGCATTATTTGTAAGTTACTGACTTTAGCAGCACCCCATAGATGGATGCCATACATCCAAACTGGTTTGAGAATAACTTTGTATAATAAAATTTTATTGTACATCGACAGTTTTGATCTAAAAATATGAAATATAATGTTTTAAATGGATTTAAAATTAATTATATTATGCTATACTAGAACATGAAATTTTTCATGACTTGACATTTAAAAGAGTTATCAAACTGCTAGTTATTTCGAGCTTATTTCTATTAACCGAATGCTTTCATCGCTCGGTCCACTATTTTAGCTTCGGCGGTTTCAATGAACATTGGTTCCTGTCGTGCGTTTGTCGCGTGTGCACTTTTTATCGTACGCATTTACCTTTCATAATAATTATCCAGAATTATTTTCTGTGTTAATTCACGCAGATTTATACGAAACGCTAAACGTTACAAATTAGCATTTTCCCAGCGACGTGTATAGGAGAGTCAACTCTCCGCACACAGTGAATTGCGTTAATTGAGTAACGAGCCATAATGTTGCAATGCTCAAACTTGATGTATGTGCAAGTGATTGTTTGCACAAACTAAATGGTAAATAAATGCGAACACAAACTGATTTGACAGACCATTTATTTATATTGCAGCGTTAATCTAGTGCCACGACGAGCAAATTCCGATACAGGTCGGAGGAACATAATTCAATTATAGAATTATGATTGGTTTTGTAACGCGCTTAAATGAATGCATGAATTTGAATGACATAGATTTTTCTGAAAATTCATCAGGTTGTCGGCTAAGAATTATTTCTAATAAGTATACACATGAGCTATTTTGTATAATTTATAAGAAAATGATCACTTTCAAATGTTTCAACTTATAACGAAGAGCCATTTTTCTTATAAATTAAAGAAAATAAATTTCTTATGATTGAACTTATAATGAACTAGACGCATAAATTTTATGTGATTTTTGAAAGGCCGCAAAAAAGGCCGAACAATATTCATATTTTTGTTATTTATTAATGTTTTGAGAATATGAAAAACATAACTTGAATATAGTCATAAAGTTTTAATTCTGGAAGACGGTCTTGAAAAATTGGCTCCAGATCATACCCCCATGATTTTTAGTCCTCCAAATAATCCGAAGAAAAATTTGATTTATTATTTAAAGTTTTATAACTTCTCAAATTTTTCTTTTTTTTTTAAATAATAGAAATCGGAATTTGGAAATGAGTGAAGTTCATACTGAAGAATACTTTATGAAGAACACTATAAAAATTTCAAGTAAATCGGTGGGTACCATCGTATCGAAAAAAATATGTTTAAAGTTTCGCAAAGGAAGAAATCGCAAAGGAGGATTATCGTGGTCAAACATCTATATCTCCATAAAACACATATTCTTGAACAGTTAAACTATGATTCGAAAAAAAGAAATTCATTTTTAAAACTATAGACCAGAATACTCCCTTTAACTACTTTTATAGAAACAAATTTAAATGAATTGAGTCAGGAATCTTCTACACCAAGATTTTTTTTAAAAAAATGTTCATACGATTTAAAATAAAATGTTCAAAAAAGGAGATATTTCATTGGAGATAAACTCTATAAAGGCATAAATAACAGAACAAAGTCTTAAAGAATATTCTGATTGTCAATAAATATATGCATACCAAAAAAAGTACACAAGTTGAGTAAAAAATTTTCACCAGTTGATAAACAAACTACTAGTCTGATTTCAGTTTAACATCAATTTTCTTTTTCACTGGTAAAAGAATTTATTTTGCGTGAAAGGGTTAAAGATAGATTTAAAGAACGCATCGTAAAGTTAAGTTTTAAAAACTAGATTTGATAATACTTCCTCTCCGGCGAAAGATGAGCGCATGCATTTAACGGCATTTGCAAGCAAAAAATTGCATTTCATTGACGCTTTTGTGCTTTTATATAACGCCAGGCAGCGGTCTGTGTGCGGCGCCAGTCTGATTAATGTTCGTATAAAATATGCATGGAGCCAATTATAGTACGGTAGATTATATGCATGAGATAGGTGTTGTCTGTTCAATACTATAATTACAACCGTATTCTCAATCAGAATTATTCATTTAAATGACAATAGCTTCCCATATTTCACTTGAACTTGTTTAATTAACGTAATAAGCAGAGAGTTAAAATAAAATAGTCGATAAAATTTAATTATTTACGTATTTTTGAATTAAAGTTTAATGAAATGTTGTATTCTGTATGTGACAGTATTATTTTCTAATTAATGTTTAGAAATAGGTTCAGACGTTATTATTTTATCATTATCATTATTGTATTTACATACTACACATAATTACTTTATATGAAAGAGTAAGAAATATTGTTGCTAAAAATAGTCAACAAAAATTCATTAACAAAAAAACTCGATAATACCGTCGCATGATTTTTTTAATACTCGTTCGAATCGTTCGAAGTCAAACGGATCACCAGTCGGAATCATTGGTATGTCACCAAATCGCCAGCAATTTTTGATTCAATGGTGAAATTCAGTGCGTGTACATCATTATTCTTTGCGGCAAGAATTGCTCGTTGACTTATCCAAGCATAATTCTGATAATTCTCACTAATGTTGTTACTCGAATTTTTAATTACGGTGCGCGGAGCTTAGCTATAAACCTTGCGGAGCCCGAGACCTTTCCAACGAATGCAAAATTGTCGAAATCGGTTTGTGCGTTCTGGAGTTATATCGTCAGGAAGGAAAACCCGACTTATTTTTATATATATGTAGATTTTAGTTATATAATGCATATAATAATTACAACCAACTATTTAATTATATGTACGAAAGAAAGTGAAATACTCATTAAGAATAATATTAATGAATTAAAACCAATTTAAGTATAATATTTTGTTTTTTTTCTTTATCGTTAAGAAAACTGTTAACCTTTTCGACTATAAAATTGATATCAACCAAATCTTAGCTGTTGATGTCCAATTATTTTTGGACTTATCATTACGCGACATTATCACTTTTTATTTGAATGAGAATTATATAGCAAACCAAGTTTATTATTGTTATTGCGATCTATGGTTTTGTGGCAGACGGTGCTGCTGTATTTGAATGTAAGCATATGGCTTATAAATTTCACAATCCGGTTGTAAACCTGTACTCCGTTTCGTTTCACCAGACAGTTCGTAGCCATAGTAGTTACTAGTGTAAAAAACTGATCGTGAATTTCATTGTCGTATATGCATTATTATTTATGTAAATTGCATATGTCATTTACTATATTCCGGCCCCTCTTTTCGTATAAATTTTAAATCTGACATTTCTATAGATAATTCATAACATTATTAAGAACATATTTCGCATTGTTCGTGTTTGTAATGTCAAGTTCATTGGTGTATTTGCATAAAAAGCGTACGTAAACATAAACGAAAAGAGCCAATGCCATCAAGTTTCTTCATATTATGAATGCGCTCTTTTTTGTATGTAAATAAACTTATACAACATTTGCAAATAAATTTTTAGATATTTCAATAACCCCATTAATTAAATGGCAAATGTTTATTTTTGTTTACTAGTTAAGTTGTTATTTGAATTTTTATTTAATAAATATACAGTTTTTAAATTTATGCATGAAATATTAGTTGCAAATACGACGCATAAAAAATTACTGATTTTTATAAAATTAAAATAATATATTAATTGTAATAATAAATCACTTTCTATATTCATATAAGGAAATTCCTCAATGAGGAAATTTCTAAACGCCATGTACCCAACAGCAAATATTCTCATTGAATCAAAGGTTCAGGTTGGTTATGAAAAATGAAGGAAAAAAAGCAATATATAACAACGTGTATAACGTATTGTTGAACAAGAATTAAAGTATTAACTATCATCACGATTAATCAGAGCCTGTTGTTTGACTAAAACCTAGTTTTATTCAGCACTACTTTCCTCAAAAAATGCGCTTTTCAGTATTAATTGTAAAGCAATCATGAATCTATTTAAATTTCAATGATTTGTTTATTATAAATATTATATAAATACTGCTTTGTAATTTATTCTTGTATATTTATAAAAAGTACAACTCATATCAGTGTTTACATTCAAAGAAAACCAGTATCGCATTTGTATTCATAAAATATAAAAAATTAATTAATGCACTTAAGAGCTTATTAAATACTTCATTTGTTTTTCTTTTGAGAGTTGTTGATATAATATATGTATTTCAATCTTAAATATTATATAATTATAATGAAAAACATTGAGTCATATTTGCTTAATTTAATTTAAAACTGATTCGATGTTTATGGCAGTGACATTATTATGAATTAACAAATGAATTGTGTGTTTAAAAATATAGTACTCTTGGTACCAATTGAATATATCTTACAAAATATTTTTGAATAAAATTGTTTCTTATGTTATTATATAACAAAAGTATTTATGATACTTAATATTCAAATAAACAAATCACTGAACGTAGTAGGTTTCTTACAAAAACGAATCGTGGCATAATATTTCTAAAAGATGCGATCGGCAATTGTCTGATAATTTTTGTTTTTATTTGAAAGCACAATACGAAATAATTACTAATTTTTCTGTCTATACCGCAAATTATACACGGACGTTCTTGCAATAGCGCGAAGGAATCTTATTTGGAAATAGTTAAATGATAAAGAATTAAAAGGAATTTCAAAAGGAAATTCACATTTTTTATGAAGTTTGTCGAATGATGCGATTGATGGATAGTGGTATGTTATATTTTTTTGTTCTATTGTTTTTATTCATATTACCTCTCATGTGTCATAATTTAATCTTAACTATTTCCACTCGCGAATTGCAGTATTATTTGGCATCCGAGTTGAAAACGTTGATATGTTCAAAGTTGTAAAATAAACTGCGTTCATTATTTTTTGACTCGATTCAAGTGATTATTGAGGAAAACATTTAATGTTATATTTTTTCTATTGTATATCTTCTAACAAATCTTTTTTTTTCAGCGCGGGATCGATTCCCGTCTACTAGTAGTACTGATGATTCGGGTTCAGATGTGGACCACGACCCAGAATCCGTTGGTCGCCATGGTGGCGTGGATAAGGACGATGATGATCTGGGTGGTGATGGTGGTCTTGGCCTATCCCATGGCGGACACGCTGGAGGACATGCTTCCGTCGGTTTGAGTGGAAGCGGTATGGGTGGCGGAAGCGGTGGTTCGCATGCCGTTAGGAAGAGGCGCGGCAACTTGCCAAAGCATTCAGTCAAGATTTTGAAGCGATGGTTGTATGAACATCGTTATAATGCTTACCCCAGTGATGCTGAGAAATTGACACTGTCGCAGGAGGCCAATCTAACGGTTTTACAAGTAATGGAAAATTTAAAATTTTGTACTATAGATTAGTTTTATCTCAATTTTGTCGTATAATAGTTTTGCATCTAATAAAAACATCTAATATTACTCAGAAGCGTCATATATATATATATATATATATATATATATATATTAATTTTTTTTTATAATTTTGATGTTGAGATATGTGAGATTCAGTCTTCAGGGCAATACATCAATTAAAAACTTGTATGACTTTAAAACATTTTTATTTTTTCCATACGTTTCGACACATTGTTTTGTGTCTTCTTCAGTGGACTCTAGTTTGAAGGCACAGATAGAAATTATTAATTAAAACTGATATATAAGAAGTGATATGGTATGAACTTACATGTAATTGTAATAATCCTAATTATTTCATAATTATAAATGTTCACAATGCACAATAAAACCAATTCTTGTCACTTAAATTGAACAATATATAAATTTTAGAATGAGTTTTTTATGAAATTGTAAAGTACATCCCCTATTCTGTATTCCGATGCAAGAGTGAAGCCTAAATGTACACCAATGTGCGCACCACGTGTTAAAAGCTAGGTACAAAGCACACGAACTGATCAGAGAATTTAAGGTTTGACAACTCGAGGAGGGTACATATAGTAAAATATAAAAAGATGACAATTGTGAGAGTGGACATAGTTGGTAGAATTGAGATAAAAATTAAAAGAAAAAGAAAAATTAACATTAAAATTAATATAATTAAAACGTCGATCGGGATAGGTAATTATTTTAAAAGTATGAAGTTCGAGACATTGTTTAAAACTACTTGGTAATTCTCACACAGTGAAGAAGTATCCAATCTTTTGTTTATGCTATTTTTAAAAAGGTGTATGAAACATGATTCTGAAAAGCGTCTCTGCGATGTATTCGACTCGTGATATAAAATTGTGGCAACATCAAAATTGAAAATATTATTGAAACTTGGATGTAGTCAGTTATCTTTGTTTAATTTTGATTTTTATTTTTGGAGTTGTTATAGCGTTGTCTAAGACGTTTTTTTAGATGTTGTCCAGTTTCGCCAATATAAGTGGCCTCACAATTTGTACAGTCAATTTTATACACGATGTTAGAAATACGATCTAAACTTGTCGGTGATTTTAAGTTTAAGCAAGCAAAATATAATTATGAATTTTCAATTAATATTAGTAAGAATACTAAGTAAGTGTCAGTACTACATTTATTAAGTCATGAAATGAAAATACACCAACAGCGTTAAAATACACAACTATTACATCAGCAATTGTTTTTTTAAAAAATTGTAACCGTCATTAGAAGTGATTTATAAATATTTCTAAGTTCTTAATTATATTCTGTCTATTGCCCCTTAGGTATGCAATTGGTTTATAAATGCAAGACGTCGTATTCTTCCTGAAATGATTCGGCGAGAAGGTCATGATCCACTACATTATACTATATCTCGGCGTGGTAAAAAAGCGACTGGCGGCAGTCAGTCTTCAGGAGGCGGTCCGCCATCTCCTGGTGCAGTCGCCGCTGATCAAAATGTAGCTCACCATCTTATGATCACCATACCTCCACCAGCTACCACTCCCGTGACAGGTAAGGATTTGAATTACATCAGCTTAATGATTAAAATATTATAATGAATGATAAATTTAAATATTGCCGTAAACTGTTTAAAAAAGGGTTGCTTTTCATTAATATTATTGTTATTATTATGGTTGTCTTATTTTATTTTTGAAGTAAATAGTTTTTTTTTTTTTTTTAAGGCGCTCAAAATCGCACGGCGAAACGTATGCGGGGTTCCATTACGCAAATGTCACGCGATCATGATTACGATGACGGCGTCTTGTACCGAAGCGAGGAAGACAGCGCGCCCGAATATGATGAGAGCAGTTCGCCTAGTGAAGAAGAAGTCAAATACGATCCGTCCGTGTGGCAAAGCGTCATTAGGTATACGTCGCATCATCAAGATGACATCGATGATAAAGAGGATGTTTTTCGTCACTCCGATGAAAGAACGTAAGTACAATATCTTTTATATAATTACATATCGATATACACCTAAGTCTGTTTTTACACGGTAGATTGGTTCCAGAAGAAGCCGTGTAAAAAAAGACATTGATCTTATACAAAAATGGGTGATTTGTTCCTAATCTCTAAAACCTATTAAAATTAGCGAAAAACAAGAATTTTTAGTGTATTCCCCTAAATTAGTGCTATTCACATTTGCTTTGACCATTAAGAATTGTTTGTACGCGCTAAAGGGGAATTCGCTTAAATCTTTAAGATCGTGTTTGCAAACTATCGATACTATCGATGGTTTCAGACTTTTTTCTTTTATAAATACTTTTTTGTGATATGAACATATTTTGCAAAAATTAAATTTGATAAAAAATTTAAGTACATAAAATTTCAAATCGTGCTAAATGGAATAAAATCGTGTAAAAAAATTAAAAATATTCAATTTTCAAACCGTGTACAAAAAGACCGTGTAAAAACAGACTTAGGTGTAATTACATGCTGAGCACGGTTGACGTTTAATTCTGTACGATATTTCTCCAGGAGTCCAGTCGATGAAAGTGCCCCACTATCCGCTCATGCATCCGTTGTAACGCATCCAGGTGCTGAATATTGGGCGGCACCGCATCCGCATCTCGCCCATTTACCGCAACTACCGCATCCGTTAACCGCCGCGTCACATGCTGGAGCACGCGTACAGGTCATGCCTGCACACCATCAGGTTAGTATCCTTATTTTTATCCACTATTTTAAATGAAGAGAAAAAATGCTTTCCACGAATGAAATCGTTTACTACTGCGTAATGTTGATCAGCTTAATCATGTTGCGAGTTGTGTTGTACTATTTTATTAGCATTGATAATATATAAACATCGCCTATTAGATTAGCGGTCCACCACCAGCCCTGCCCGGAAGTCCGCCGCCTACACCACCTGAGACCCAAGAGGACAAGGACAAATTTAAATGTCTCTACCTGCTAGTTGAGACCGCAGTAGCTGTTCGCCAGCGAGAAAAGGAACAGGAAGAAGTTCATGTATAACGAATAACCCGTGCTTACATTACAGATGTCCATAAGCACATGCAAGACTGAATGGTATGAATGGTTGTACATCTGAAGACATTTAAGTTTAGTTGTAAGTATCGATCGAATGGACAAGAATATAGAGAACCTTTGAAGATTGCCAAATGAAAATAAGCGTAATTAGACAGTTATGTTTGTGCTTAATAATTTACTCTTATGTATATGCTACAACACCATAATATATCAATCAAGTGCAACAATAATATTTTTGTTCACATAATACAATACATGAGCAGACTGGTTGTGAACTGTGATCTAAAAACTGAAACACTTGGAAGAAGTGAATTGTAAGCCGTGTGTCAATCGGTGGAAATGTGCCTTTTATCTATGGCTTAAATTGTACCATGCCAAGTCTTTTAAACACTTGTGTATTATTTATGAGCATGGTAAACAATTTGAAAGTGCTGTAGATTTAATGATAAGTTTTGATAGGGTTATTAATTATTCTATATATTGTAAGTTGTTGATTATAAGGAACATTTCTTTGTATATTTTTTACACTTTCTAATAAGTACGCAGAGACATGTAGGTCTAAATAGTGCGCTAGTGACAAATGATGACCTTTGACTATGTGGTGGTATATTAAATAAGTTCTCGGCCCACAAACATATCTGAAATTTAAATGATTCTCAATGAAAAAAAAAACAATAGTGCACAGGAATTTATATGATACGTGAAGTATACATGCATATATTTTCAAATAGAAACTTCGAAGTAATACTTAGATTGTAAGAGCAAAAATTCTCATGTCATATTTTACTAATATTACTGAAATAATATAAGCAAGAAACCATATGATAGAAAAAACATATAGCAATAATACAGTAAAATACCTGTATATATCATTTTTATTAATTAAGAGTTTATATTAATAAGTGTATATTCAAAACATGTGATTTTGTCCGATTTGATTTGCATTTAGTATCGTTTTCTACAATTGTTTTTAATTGAAAAATGATCAGCAGTTTATTTTGTATATGTATTTGCTTATCACGATTCGAAGTTATAGATAATTTAAATTTATAATATGACTTGTTTCTGAACATTCAAATACTTTTTTACGATATTTATTTCTAGAAGTTATTAGATTTTCACAGATTGTCATAAAATTACTTTTATTTTTTAAAATTGGGTGACGTATTTTTTTTTTAAAAGTCATTCATATTGTGAAAGTGAGTTTTTTTTTTATTAAAAAAAGTAAATAGATGCTAGTGAATAATATAGAATTAAGTAGTTGGTAAGTTTTATAAATAAACTTTTCAACTGTTAAATGACAGTTTTGAACAAAGCTCTTCCTATAATATTACATATATTTAAACTAAATACAACATTTTTAAATTGGTACAAAACCAAAGACTATGAAAAATGATAATATAAAATATATAAACTTCTAGAATACATATAACAATAGTAAATTGACTTCTGCAGAATTTATTTTTGAAATAAAATTTTTATTAGACAAGTTGGCAGCTATTCTTGTTTACAAATATTTACTTGGAAACCATTTCTCAAAATCTCATTCAAATTTTATCTCGGCCATTGGAACTTGTGAAAAATTTGTCCTACTGAAACGCCCACTTGTACAAAATATATTACTTATAATTGTAATGACTTTGATTTAGTATTATGTTATATATAAACAAGCATAATTACTTAATTGTATTTTTTTTACTGGTAAGAAAAGTCAGGTTGTAATGTACTTCTAATTTTCCTTAGTGTGTCGAATTCTTGTGTGGATTGATTTCTTTTGGTAAAAATTCAATTTAAAATTACTGTTTCGAGATAATCCAGGAATACACTGCCAATGTAATTATTAAAATATTTCATTACAATGGATTTCAAATTTTTTATAAGAAAGTAACAATATAGCAATCGAAGCAGCCTGACTGGCGTGTTGATGTAAAACATATTACGCTATGGTATAAATAAATATAAAAAAATAAATCTATTTTGTGTTTATATGAAATATTGAATATATCTCAATTATGGTAAATATTTCATGCTTTGATCATCAATATTTTCATTTATATCATTTTTAAACTCTTTTCTTAGGTTGATCTCCATCACTACATATATTACTACGTTTTCTACTTTCATTTGAACCATCTGTTCTATACTTCAATGCATGATCTGCTGCTGCTATCATTTCTTGAGTACTAATTTCACTTGAAGCATTTCCTGCTAAATATTTGCATATTAATGGACATTCTTCAGAGTATTCATCAATTACTATACATTACCTACCTGTAAGTAACGTTTTTGATTCCATTTGTTTTCTGAACAATTCCTGTTGCTCCCTTTGTTTCCGCTTACGTTCCTCTCTTAATTCATCTTCAGATACTTTAGTTTTGGCTTGATTCAATAATGGTTTAGGATTCTGTATACGAAAGACTGTGATTGAATTATTTGAATATGAAAAATACTATTACTAAAAATAATAATAGGAATACAAATACATGAACTTACCTTACATAATTTGACAGTTTTTTTTTTTTAAATAAATCACATTTTCATATTATGCAATTAAAGGGATTATGTATATTATGTACTATCTCAAAATTTCTGGCACTTTCAATGGTAAAAACATTTATTTTGAATACTACATTTTTATAAATTCCAGTTTAAGTGTTATAAATGATTGATTTCACTTCAAGCACAAACTACGGAATTGTACAATTAAATATTCCAGATAAATTTGAAACAGCACAAAACTTTGCATTAGGCTGTATACAGAAATATCTGCCATGGATTTTTAAAAATTCTCTAATGTATTTAATTTTGGTTTATTTACATAAATATAAAATATACAAAAGTCCTATATGGTAACAATGCTATTACATTGTTCTCTCTATGTCAGTACAACTAAAAATTATCTTATTTAGCATTCTAGGCCTTTAAAAATATACTCAGAATATAATCTTAAGAAAATACCACTTACAAATACTTTCCCAATTCTAAATCAATAATGAGATCGACTGCTCATAAATATCATAAATAATATTCACATTGTTATTAAATTAATATTTAATATCATATTTTATATTAAATATTTATAATATTTAGCACTTCGAACCATCACCAGTCGGTGTTAAATGTATCAGATCATTTTGATTTGCCCAAAGTTTAACTTTATTTTCTGTCCAAAAGCCGTCATGAAAAATTGTTGGAGTTATCCATTCATTATTGACGAAATTATTTTTATGGGGACTTTGGTAGCTTAGTACCTGGTTATTAAACATTTGACTATCTTGTTGAATATGACAATTATTGTAACTTATGGTGTTCTGATTCAAGAATATTGTTTTCATTAGAGGTTTAGGATTAAAGGAGTTTCCTTGAATGTTGTTGGTAATTACATTACTTACATCATTTGTTATGGGAGCTATAACATTACTCGGCATTTGCTGGAGAGGTACTTTTGGATGCACAACTAGGCTTGGTTTAGTGTTGACTGGTGTTTTGGAAACAAATTGCACATTGTTAGAATTAGGAAGTCGTACATTTGGATTACTTCTGTCAATTCCAGGTAAATTTACTTGATTTATAGGCTTACTAGAAGAGAAGTTTCCCGAGATATTATTTTGTGCTGATGGATTGTCATTAAATGTTTTTGAAGGAAAACGATTAATTTTTCCAGGTGATTTTGGCTTAGTTGGTTCACAGGGTTTTGTTTGAGGATTTCTATTTTCATTGCGAGATTCTCGAGTTTCAGTCTTTGTGGAATGATCACTAGGAAGGCCAATTGTGCAATTGTTTGTTTGTAAAGCCATTAAAACTTTATCAGAAATTACACCTCCAAAACTACACATCGTTTCCTTGAGAGCATTCAATACAGACATCTGCAACATGTGATATTGCTCAAGAGATATTCAAATATTATTGTAATACCTTCACATTCAGTCGACTTACTTTTCTCACCAAACTGTATGCAGTTCCTCTATCCATATGTGATAAATAGCAATAACCCACATTCTGTCTTTCTAAACGGTTAGAAAGCACAGTAATATTCACAAATGTAGAAACTCCTACTTCAAATAGTCCATCCTTCTCCACAGAAAAATCTAGATAATTCAGATATGGTATGCCATTAGGTAATAAAATGGTACATATTTTAAAATTACTTTTACAGTTTTAAATGTGTGTATACACACACACACACACACACACACACATATATATATATATATATATATATATATATATAATGTTATTATTTAACTTTCAGTTCAATATTTTATTTTTTCGTGAAACAATGCCTTTATTTTATTATATTTATTTTATTTGTATTGACACATACAGTGTCAAAATGTATATAATAAATAGTTAACCTTCTTATTTCGATTATTTGGCTGCAAATAAACATTTCATGAATATGTTTCAATGTATAACGAAAAATCTAAAGTTTATATACATTTTCATGGCTTTTGTTGCTTAAATTAAATCAAATAGGTATATCTATATAAAGAAACTTGCCAACATCTTGTTTGATCACTGTCCAACTCCAAGAATTATCCCATATTAAATTTCCTAGCTCAACTAATGTTTGCTGTAGTTTGTAACATTTTTTGTATTCTTCTGTTTCATCCATCTTCTTAATATGAAGCTCAATTAAAAATATGTGTAATGTGTAAACACTTAGTTAAATAAGAAATATATATAATATATAGCTTTCAGTTAACAATTAATTGAGAAACTTTATAGATTATTTGTACAAATATACAATTGATCAATTATGGTTCAGAACGTGTATTTATATTCGCCATTATTTTTCGCAATAACACATTTCGAATGTCATAACAAGCCTACGAAAAACAAATACGAGTAGATAATGGTGAAGTACGAGGTGAATAATAAGAGTGAAGTGGGAATCAGAACACCAAAAGTTCGTTTTGACTTCACTCCATATTCTCTTCTTTTATTATCTATGCCATAGATATACCATTCTTAGGTTTCAGTTCAAGATATTTCATATGACAACACTAAAAAAATGTAGCACTTAAATTTGTTTTAAAATTTTGAACATATTTTTTATATTTGATGAATGATTAAATTTAGAATATCTGAATTCATTAAATAAAATATGGGGCTATTATTCCTGTTATTTGAGGATTAAATTTTTTACTAACAAAAGTCGTTTTGTTTTATTACTGACCGCTGCCAACTTAATGCCGTCTGTATAGAAATGCGGAATGCTATGTTTTCTTAATTTAAGTCGGCCAACTGACAATTTTAATTTTGTGAGTACTTTAAATCGAAAATTATCGTTGTATTTTCTATTTGTATGCTTACAGTATTATATTTTTACATAAAATTGTAAATAACCTATCCGATGTGCTTTGTTAGCATATCGTTATCCATGTGGATGTTTTTCATTAATTGACACCGCTTAATCTTGCTTAGTTAATGCTTAAATAATTGATAAATTGAATAATAAAATTTATATCAATATAAGTGCTACTTCGCTTTTTTTGTTTTCGACCTCTACAAATTGTGTACTAAGTTTTTTTTATATAACCTATATTAGAATTCTTGAGTACCTCCTCTTAAAATGGAAGGATCTCAAGAAGTGGAGGCCCTTGCAGCAGAACTAGCTCGAGCTGTAGAATTGACAATGAATCCATCTGTATCACAAAATGATAGATTAGAAGCTTATAATGCTTGTGAAAGGTAAAGAAAATCATTTATAAATTTGTCATTATTGTGCAATGTACATAAAGCAGTTGTTTATGTTAATATTTTAGATTCAAGGAAAGTTCACCACTTTGTGCTCAAGCTGGATTATATTTGGCTAGATCTTCTCAGTCAGATATTGTTTGTCATTTTGGTTTGCAACTAATGGAGCACACAGTTAAATATCGTTGGTTAAATATTTCACATCAAGAGAAGATTTTCATTAAGGTATTATCAAAATTTTCTTAAAATCCTTGATATCAAGTATGAGATATAAATAATAAATATTTTAGGACAGTGCAATGAAATTGCTTCATAATGGAATGGGGTCTTCTCCAGAACAATCTCATATAAGAGACGCATTGTCACGAATTATTGTTGAAATGGTTAAACGAGAATGGCCACAGCAATGGCCTACCTTATTAGCTGAATTATCCGATGCTTGCAGTCGTGGTGAAGTTCAAACTGAACTTGTTCTTCTTGTGTTTCTACGTCTGATAGAGGATGTAGCATTGCTTCAGGTAATATTATGAAGGCAGAATTCAATGATGGATTTGATTTATGATTTTTTGTTTTTACAGACCTTAGAATCCAGTCATAGAAGAAAGGATATTTATCAAGCTTTAACAAGTCATATGTCTGAAATTTTTGATTTCTTTTTGAGATTAATAGATCATCATGTTACAACTTTTAGACAATTGAAGGAATCTAATAATCCAAGAGCGGATGCTCATAAGAGGGTTGTTCAAGTGAGTTTATGCAAAATATGATTTATGCTAAATCTTGTCAAATTAAATATCGGTTGATAGAATTAATTGTAACATGTTATCTTTTAGGTTGTTTTACTAACTTTGACAGGATTTGTTGAATGGGTGTCTGTTCAGCATATCATGGCTGGTGATGGCAGACTTTTACAAATACTTTGTGTATTACTTATTGTGCCTGAATTTCAAATGCCAGCTGCAGAATGTTTATTACAAATAGTTAATCGCAAGGGACAGGTACAATTATCATGTGTTTGTAAGCTTCAGCAACATGTTTTAATTCTTTTTAATTTTATAGATTAAAGAAAGAAAGCCATTGCTAATTTTATTTAGTGAAGAGGCAATGGGTTTTATATTTCAAGCAGCTGAAGCTGCAACGAGTAATTCTACAGAAGAGCAGCATTATGCCTTTTTAAAAAAATTAACACAGGTGTTAGGTGGACTAGGATCTCAATTAGGTGCACTTTGGGGCAAAGAAGATGGTTCAATTATCAGACCTGCTAATTTTTCAACTTATTTAGAAGCTTTACTGAGGTTTACAAGTCATCCAAGTTTGACTTTAACACAGCTTGCCAATAATGTGTGGCTGGCATTATTGAAACATGATCATATCTCTAAAGAACCTACTTTTATGAGTTATATTCCGAAGTTAGTTGAATGTGTTGGACCAAAACTAATAAGGGTAAATAAGGCAGTCTAGAAATTTGTAGTTGCTTTTTCATTTTAGTGTTTTCTGATTAATTAATCCTTATTTATTTATTATACTAATTATACCTATTATTTATTAATTTATTATATAATTTTTTTTAATGTTTTGTTCTTCTTGATGCTGATAAAAAATTATTTATTTTATTTTTATATGACAAAAAGTTGGTATTTTACCTTTTTATACATTTTCTTCTAGGTGGTGTATCCAGTTGCTCGACCAATTAAAGGTGCAAATGATGCAACTACATATGCTAGTATGGACTATGATAGTGAAGAAGAATTTATATCATTTTTTAATCGCTGCAGGTCAGATATCTTAGATAGTTATCGACAGATAACTCTTATAGCTCCATCTGTTACTTATGGTTATGTAGAGCGCTGGTTGACGATTCGTTTACAGAAGTCTGTAACTGAAAATCACAGAACAGATGGAAATATTCTTGATCCTGTTTATATGGAATGGGACGCCCTTGCTCAAGCTTTGGACAGTATACTGAGCAGAATTTTGATGGTAAATGAGAGACCACCTGTAGCCAATGGATTAGCATTATTAGAACTGTGTTTAAGTTTTGAAACTTCAGATCCATTAATATTATCAACTCTTCTGTCTTGTATATCAGCCTTATTTGTGTTTCTCAGTATGTCATCATGCCAAATTACTGCTGGAAATTGTGTAGCTATGACTGGAGTATCATTACTTCCTAGAGTTCTTGACAAGATTTTTGCAGCTTTAGTTTTTAATGAACATGGCCAAACAACAGAGACCAGATCCAGAGCAGTGAAAAATGTTAGAAGGCATGCGGCCTCATTAATGGTCAAAATAGGCCACAAATATCCTCTGCTTTTGCTGCCTGTATTTGATCAGATAAACACCACAGTTCAAAGGCTTGCTCAAAATCCTGACCAGCTTAGTAAACTTGAGTTGATAACTATGCAGGAATCTCTTTTGCTAATATCTAATCATTTCTGTGATTATGAACGTCAGACAAAATTTATTTATGAGACAATGAGTCTAGGTCTTGCGCAATGGAATGTTATTGCACCTGTACTTAAATCAGCTTTTGATTTCATGGACTACATAGGCCTAAACAAACCTCCTGTGGAACCAAACTCAAATGATTTGTATGGGCAACAGAGAGGCAATATATTGCGTAGTGTACACACAGTTTTAGCTATTGTAAAACGCTGTTCTTGGCCCGATGATCCTGACAGGGCCTCAAGAGGTGGCTTTGTTGTTGGCTTTACAGAATCAGGAAATCCAATATGTAGGAATCCAGGGACTCCACATATTATTCCCTTATTGCCTCACATCTTATCATTACTTCGTATCTTAAATGAACTTTGGATACCACAAGCATTGGCCGCTTTGCCTGAAGGTTATCGTCTTGCTCATAGTATGTTGGAAAATGATAAAGCTAATTTATTGGGCACCGCATCACCGATAATAATTGATCCCATGGATCCAAATACACACAAAAATAATAGTTCCTTGGACCGAATGCAACAGTTTCTGTCATTAGTACATGATGGCTGTTACCATTTGATGGGTGCTGCAGGTCCTTCATTAGGCCGGCATTTATATGAATTACCAGGATTAGAACAAGCTTTAATAAATAGCATATTTTCAAATTTAGAACATATACCTGATTATAGACTGAGACCTATTATCAGAGTATTTCTTAGACCTTTTATCTATTCCTGCCCTACAGCATTTTATAATTCAGTTCTGCTACCAATTTTTGCTCATATTGCTCCTTTTATGTTAAATCGTTTGAATAATAGGTGGCAATATATCTCTTCATTATATGAATCTGGTAAGTTAGATGAGGATAGTAATGATACCCAAGAAGTGCTAGAAGACATGCTTAATCGTAATTTAACTAGAGAATATTTAGATGTACTGAAAGTTGCCTTGGTTGGTGGTACAATTATTTCTACTGATACCATTTCTTCTATGGAGCAAGATGATTCATCAATGGATACGCCTCAGGCAAACCTAACCAGAGCAGCCCAATCTGCTATTGCTTCGGATGTTATAAGTGATTTAGGAAACAAATTATTACGCTATGAGCATTGTTCAACACCACTGGTTCTCACTGTTCTTAGTGCTATTGCATGGAATGATAGTAATGCTAGTATGAAAGCCACATTGTTAACTGGACCCATTGTTAGATTTTTGGCATCTGAGCAAGTACTGAATACACAGATCGCAGGTCATATAATGAATGTTATTTTACAAGGATTACAGCTCCATGGACAGCATGATGCCAATCAAGGATCATTATTGACCTTAGGCGTGCAAATGTATGAAATTTTAAGACCCAAGTTTCCATTAATAATTGAAGTAATGCAACAAATTCCAAATGTTAATATGGCAGATTTACAAAAGTTTGATGAAAAAATTTCAACTGGTAGTACGAAAGGTAACAAAATTGATAAAGCTAAAAAGGACTTATTCAAGAAAATTACTAGTCAGGTAGGTGATGCAATATTAAACACTTAATTATATTTTACAGCCATGTTACATGTTTGTTCCTGTTTTATAGTTAATTGGGCGTAGTATTAGTGAGTTATTCAGAAAGGAAGTAAAAATTGCAAATCTCCCTTTACTCATTGTGCCAAAGCCAGAACAACAAGCTCTCGTTGACTCAACAAATGATGTTGGATTAATAAAACTGTTTGATCGAAAGTAAATTGTTATAAAAACATCTGAACACATAATCAATATCTATTGATTAAATTTTGTATGAATGAGACATTAGCATTTAAAGTATTTATCTCTAACGCATTTTCTACTTAATGTAGATAACTATTCTTTGGGAACCAAATCTATTGGTTACAATAAATATTTCTAAGTGTTGTCCATTTTTTATAAGATTTATATATTTATGAGATTAGGTGAATAATTGTATATATAAAAATGATTTTTCATTTTTTGTTAATTTTATTAAATTTGACTGTTTAATCTGTAATTTATATTTTGATTATTTTTATATGTACAGATAAATTGAATTAATTTATTATTAGGAGTATAAATCTTATAGTTATGTTTTCTTCGCATTCCAAAAATGCATTGTGACAATATATCAGTGAATTGTAAATATGTGAAATCAAATTATAGCAATCCGAATTAGCCAAAACTGTTACTTTGATATTTAATTGCATACAAACTATTTTAATAATTGCCATTTACGAAATAAAATTACTTATATTCTGAATAGTGTTTGGTATAATGATTTATTTGCTCTTAGAAATTGGAAAGATTTATTTAGGATTTGTTTCACTATAATCAGCAAATAATAAATCAGTTCACATTTTTATTCATATAAAATTTATTTGTAACATTAATTTTAATATACTAATAAGTATATGTAAACTTCTATAAGTAAGTTATGCCTGTTGATATCAACTGTAATTATTTAACCTCCATGACGACCAATGAGAGAATTACTTTGTTGAACTGGAACAAAATAATTTGAATTAAAAAGAATTGTTTTGTTATGTTTCTAACCATTTGTAATACAAACACACCTGGACATTGAGTGCAGCCTGTTGTATAGGCCGAAGATTGCTGTTGAACTGTAAAAAAAAAAATTGAAATAGCACAGACTTTGTTTGTTATGTTTCTAATCATTTGTAGTACTGAACATACCTGGGCATTGAGTGCATCCTGCTGAATAGGATGAAGTTTGCCGTAATTGTGCTAATAGAAAACAAATATGAGTTGAAATTAAAAGTTTCAAATAAAATATGTAAGATATTTATTACACGAACCGATATTTTCCGTTGGATTTGGCTTTGGAGGTACTACGGCAACTACATTCGATGTCGATCCAACATTTTGCGGCCTTGTGAATTGATTGTAATTTACTGGAATGGTCTTTGGGATATTGGATGAAACCAAGGAAGTTGACCAATCATAACTTGGCGCGTATGATGCAGGTACTTGTTGCGTAAGGGATTGCAAAACGGATGAATCAATCGAAGTTCCCGACAGCGTATTTGGAGAATAATTGGTTCCGAGCTGGGAAACATCGTATGTGAGGGTTTGCGAAGCTGTGGGCCACACTGTTTGAGTATGGCTTGGTAAAGTTGACACCACTTGACTAGGCAAAACTTGTTGAGTGAGCGATGCCAATTGCGAACTCTGACCACTGAATCCTAATTGACTATGGTCCACCGCTTGATATGCACTCGGTTGAGCTACAGTTTGATAATTTGGAGCGTACGTGTGACCTGTACTTAAGATATTAGATGCGCTTCCCGTCGAAAAAGTTGGAAGAGTCAAAGTTTGACTAGTGGTTTGTGGAGTAAATGTTGACTGCAATAAACTGTTGTCATACTGTGCGGGCAAGTTTGAAGTATATCCTGAAAGACCGCCGGTTAAGTGTTGTGGTTGCAGTGAGTTACTACTGTATTGGACGGTCGGCAGATTGAAAGCGTGTCCTGTAGTTCCGGCCGTGTACGCATTTTGCAGTAAGTTGTTAGTTGGTAAATTAGCGTAATTTCCTGTTTGAAGCCCATTCAAAGGCAATCCCCCAAAGGTCATTAAATTGGAAGTATAAGAAGGAAATTGGGTTAAAGCTCCGGAACTACCTAAATTTGTCGTTGCTAAATTCGATGTTCCAAAACCAGGCCAATAATTTGGCAAACTTCCGCAAGGGCTAGGGCATGATGACCCACAACTGGTTGCACATCCCCCACCGAAGTATGGCTATAATTTCATTAATCAATTTTATTATCGGAATGGAACAGTTTGACATAGTAGATTTCAATATTAATTTCATATACATTCAATTATATTAATAAAAAATAATTATAATATGCTTTAGCTATATATTTTTAAACTGGATTAACAACTATATAATTTATTAAATAATAAAATTTGATACTTAATTTACACTTACTTTTGGCTTCCCTTGTGATAAGCAAATCAATCCGACAATTAAAAATAATTTAGACCACATTTTGATGATCTATGTTGTTCACCTACTGATTCAAACCAAACACTATGCACCCAATTTAGGAAAGGATCGACAGTCGATTTCCTAAAATAGATTAATTAGATTTTATAACAAAATTGCTAATTTTTTATTTGCCTTGACCTCTGATAACTTTGCGGCCTAATAAATTATGAAACACAGTGATTCTAAATCTATTCATATAACTTATTTTAGAAAAATTCAAATAATATATATTTTTGTTTGTTTTACACATATGTATTTTTTGCGTTTTTTCTTAAGTAGCTTATTTGATATGAAATAATATTTTATTATAATTATATTAAAATAAAAAAAATTAAAGTACAAATTTCACTGAACTGTACTATATTGCCCGACTTGATTAATGTCAGGAATATAAGGATTAAATACAAATTAATTTCGAAAACTTGTTTTTAGGAAATTTTTATTTATGCACTTATTCATTCACGATATACTTTTCAAAATGTTGGAGATTAATTCATAAATGTAATGAATCAAATTTACTTATTATATTCGATAATGATATTGAAGTGTCCTTAAAGCGCGTTTGAAATTTTTAACATATAAAATCTTCATGGCTGTCTTCATTCGATTGATATGATTATCGAATGAACTACATTTAATATTAACTGATATTATTTTGTTATGTAATAATCAGATTGTTTTGATTCACTTAGTTGGATACATGTGCATATTGTATGTGAATCATCAAAAGTTCAAATACTTTGACTTCGTTCCAAATTGTGCTTTGTAAATATTACTGATTTGCCTTTTTATTCATGAACATTTGATATTTACTGTTTTTAAGTTATTTTTTATTTATTAAAACATCAGGTTTATCCATAGTTCATTCAATCGCGCATTTCGGTAACATATCTTATCTTAGAGGCAATTCTTTCCCAAAACGCGCATTTTATTACGACATAGATTATATTTAAATTATTCGCTAACGCACAAAAGTATATATAACATAATTTCTTTTTATATTTTTTGTTATTCTTTCGATCGAATTAATTTCTTAATTTAGAAATTCAAGATTAATGTGATTAGATCACATTTAATATTGCAGCTAAAGATTAATATAATAAAGTTCGCAAGAAACAGCCGATACTTTGTTGCTGAACTTTGTTCAGCCACCTATTTCAAATCTACAAAGGTTATTTGTAATATTTCAATTTCCATTTACCTATAAAAAAAATTAGTGGCATTTGGCCTTAACGCATGTCCCATGTAGAACATGCCAAAAAAACGTTAAAAACATTCAACATTTAATTTCTAAGAAACGTAATTGGCTGATACTTGAAAAATCAGCTCGATCTTCAATTGATATTTTTCCAATTGTGGTTGGCAAAATTGTAGTCGAAAAATATTAATCTTCTCGGCTAGTTCTAAAGACATATCTAATAAACACAAATTTTAATAGAATTCTATTAAATGCTTAAAATTTTAAATTTTTGAAATCGGTTAGCTTAAGCTTTTAAATTTTTAAAATCGGATCAGCAGTTTTCAAAATAAAGTGGACAAAAAATTAATTTTGGCTCACATACGAGTACACACACATTGGACATTCAAAACATAAAATTGGCAATTCGATTTTTTTGGCGGGGGGTAGTTGATTTGCTTATTTTGGGTTGACATGGGGGGCAGGGGAGTCTGGATGATGATTACGTCATAAGTAGTATTTTTATTTTTTCCTGAATGGCAACCTTGCATTGTCTTTTCCAGTACCAAAAATTTAAAATAAGTTTGTTAGTTTGTTCCTCTATGTTTAATACCTTATCAGTAAAATCTCTACATCCTAAATCTATTTTCTTATTTTTAAAATTATAATTATAACCTAATAATTACAATATTTTTTTAAAAAAAACAAAACATTAATTGCAAAATGTTTACGTAAGCATGGGGGTAGGGGGTAATAGATTTTTTGAAATTTTTGCGTCTTTAAAAGCAACTTACACCTACCGAATAACACAAATTGACGCAGTGATCAATTCTAATATGTACATATATCAAAATTATGATATTATGAATTAAGATGAGTTGTGAATCATAAATTTGTCGATGAATTGCATATCATATATACATATTATATTTTTCAGAATTTGCTTAGAGCCATTAGATAAAAACAAACCAGTTATTTTCCAGATCAAAAAAACCAGGCAATGACAACCGGTATTTTATGGTGTTCTCAGGAGACACCTATTTGCAACTTCTGCGTCTGTTCGACGTCAACTTCTGACGATTGTTGTTTCTGATTTTAATTCTAAGATATCTACCACCTCCCACCAAAATTCTTGTGGTCTACCACGATCATGAAGACTTGTTATTTGCGTTTACCTTAGTAGCGATTCTGTTTCGGTAACAAAAGAGTGCAAATAATAAAGATTCAGTGATTATTTATGCAGGCAGACTTAATCGGATTCACGAAGTAAAAAGACTTTTTATCAGGTTAGAAATTTTTTCTCAATGATGGGCAGCTATATTTTGATCAGTCAATTTTAATTAACATTATCAATTCTAACATTTTTTCAAAAACTGTGGTAAACGATTTTCTGTTGTGGCTAAATTTAAATTAACACTTTAATTTAGTATAATAGCAGCGTTTTGAAATTTCTTACTTTAGTCTATTTTATTTGAGAAATTTTTAATACGTGTAAACTACTAATTAATCAATGAGCTTTCAAATTATCATAACACATTGCCTATAAATATTTATTTATTTATTTTTGTTTAAATTCATTTAAGAATAAAATAAATAATGATAAATTTTAAATTTTATAACGGAAAATATATTACTTGATATAAGTGTGGTAACTACCAGAACAAACAAAGCATCTTTAAAATTAGCTATGTGGCATGTGGTCTCTAATTTTGTATTATGTTGGGATAATTGCTTCTAATTAACCAATTTTTATTTCCTGATTTTTAAAGATGATTAAATTCGATTCGATTGATTAAAATAATCATATTATCATAGAATTAAAAAATATATTTAAAGTCATCATCCTATTAAATCATCTTAAAATAAGCTGTGGCATGGAGTTTCTATTTTTGTATATCGTAGGAATAATTGCTTCTAATTAACTATTTTTATTTCTTGATTTTTAAAGACGAATAAGTATCTCATCTATTGATTGAAATAATCACTATTAACATAAAATAAATATTTTTTGTTTAATTTTGATCAATAAAATAATAATGTTTTAAAAATATATGAGAAAAACATTTTATTAGTCACGGAAAGAATGATATATAAAACACTACGAAAAATAATAATAAAATTGATTTTTGTTAATTGTACTTTCATAATATAGTATTCAATAAATATTTTTCAATATCAGTTTCCGTTAACAATTTCAATTCGTTCTCGATAATTACTGTTATGTTTATTTTAAATCAAAGGTGTCAATATATCTATTAAATATTTTTATCATTTCAAAATAAGTATAAAAATAAATTTTTGATGGGAATTTCTGATATGACTAGTGCAACCACATATCGTCAAATTGCATAATGCAACAAATTAGCTGTGATACAACGAGTATGTTTACTTTCAAATGCACTCTACTGTAAATGTAAATGAATGATGTCTCGGTATTTATAAATAGATTATTTATGAGATATATTTTTAATTTGAAGTTAAAAATATGCTGCATTTATAAAAATATAAATAAAAAACTAGTGTGTATGGCATCGTGCCTTAAGCCAAATTCCTGGAACTTACCGTAACAAAATGTTCGAGGAATATTAAATGTTTTCAAATTATAAATATTGTAACATTGTCTAAAAAAATTGTCAAGCAATTATTTTGTAAACACAAGCAGAAAGTTCTTTGAATCATTCAAATCGGACGCTTAGTTCTATCAAAAATTACCATTTTTTGCACTTTTAGCTCTGTATCTTCGAAATGGCTGGACCTGCTTTTTCCAAAAACTAATCACCTCTTCTCCCGATCATTACAATTTGAATGTTTATATCATTCAAATCGGATACTCTGTTCTCTCAAAAACTCGATTTGTATTTTCTGCATTCTTTGCTTTTTATCTCCGTAACGGCTGGACCTGCCGTTGCCTAAAACTAATCAGCACATCTCCCTATCAATAGGAATCGAAAGTTTTTTAACCATTCAAATCGGTTGATCCGTGCGCCCGAAAACGTGGACGAAAAAATGCGAGCATACAAAACACACACGAACATACAAATGTTCAGAAACCTTCAAAACGTGAAGATATGCAAAAATTTTCATTTTCGATTATTGGCCCATTACTATAACTACCCTACGGAAAGTTAAAAAGATACGTAGATATAAAAGCTAGTGTGTAACCGGTTGTAAGCTTGCTGTGGTTTTGTATTAAGAGTTTGGTTTTTTAATCATGGGTTTCAAGTTCGATACCAAGCAGTAGTAATATTAATTTTCACTTGAAATCATATATCTAAATTGTGATTTCAAGTGAAAATAGTCTCCAAGAGTATTGTTAAAATTATATCTCATCACTAATTTAAAAAATCTAGCAATAAACACCACAATAATTTCTATTGATATTCAAGTATCTATACCTATGTAAAATGAAACAAAAAAGCTTTACGTTGTTTATAAAAAGATACTTCAAGAAAATGATGTGAAAAAAGTTTGCATTTATTGGGCATAGGAACTCGAAAAAACTATTAAAAAAAACATAAAGATATATAAAAATTTTCATTTTCGTTTTTATGCAATTACTATAACTTGCCCTACGGGAAGTTTATATATTTACTTAATTATCACTATTAACAGTTTAGTTCAACAATATGAGATAGTGTCAAAGTACTTTAAAACTCAGTTTGCGGTCTACATATTTTTACAAATACTGGATCCCCCATATAGGGTAAAATTTCGGCAAAGTTGTTATTTTTTTTTATAAATATGATAATTTTTTTATTTTTTTTTTTAAGCTATGACTAAACATATGTTGCATGCATACTTACTTTGTTCTCAATATTTCGAAGTGTTATGTCAAAAATGACCTTTTCTTTAATCACCTGCCATTATAAAACGTATTTCCTTACTACAGAGAATAGAAAGTTTCATCGCTTCATGACGAAGCAGTAATATTTAGCAACAATTCAATTACAAAACTAATTCATAATGAATGTTCAAAAACCTCAAAACCTCAAACTATAATAAAATATATTGCGACCGTATGAGGAGGTATCATAGCAAAAATTTGAAGATGGCATGATTTTGATAGTATGATCTGATGGTCTGAATAATAATATGCTTAATTAAAACAATAAGTTTTGAATGGTTGAGAAAATATTAAAATTCTTGGGTAATGTCTTGAAAAAAATCCAACTTTTTAGTAATTTAAATATATCATGAGTTGTCGATATTCATACGTTTTTAACTCTATTTTCAGGATGTTTATCAAGGCGTTTATCACGGTTGGTTTGGCGTCGATGGTGTTGGCAAGGCCACAGGTAATCTTCATTCACTTTATTGCCATTAATTTGCTGTTATTAGTGTATAAAAATAATTGTGTAAAATAAATCGTTTATGGCATAATTAAATATTGATGTGAATCTTTTTATTTCTTTGATCTATGATGCCGTAAAATATAAAAACTTTATTGTTTTAAAAACTCTTAGAATCTGAACAATCTTGGTCATAAACATACAAATTTAATGAGCGGCTTGACAAGTGGTTAATTTTTATTGGAAAACCTATTTGATCGATCAAAGATCAAAGATTCATTAAGAACTAATATTCTGTTGGAAAATGTTAAAATTGCGAACTTCAATTATTTTTTGCTCCTAGCAACGTAGCCCTTTAACGTATTTTTTTATTATTAACATAAAAATTCAAAATTTTGATTATGTACAATATATTACACTTCTAAGGGTTTAAAACTAAGATCGCAATTTTAATATTAAATAATGTTATTGAGTTTACGAAACGGGTTTCAGATATTTCGTATTGGAATTTCCAAATGGGTTTATTTTGCATGCTTGACGACTTTAGTTTTTATAAAAATAATATGCTGATGACCTAGAACAAAAATATTTTTATAAAAGCTCCGTTGGTTAATTTGGTTTGAAACGATAACATATTATTTGTTAACAAAGAAACATAGTATAAATTATATATTAAAAACAAGCAATTCACTCATTTTAGTTGATATTGAATGATTTATCCAAAAATATTTAATATAAAATTTTATCGTACTATATTTTTTTTTACTTTTTACCTATTATAGTTATAGTTTATAAAATAAAAATATAATTTTCTTTGTAAAACTTTAAGTTCATGAAATATTGAATGCATATATAATTAAAATTTATTTATGTAATTCTAATTCGGGCTTTTGTTCGCAATTAACATTTTTTGCATAATTTCAGCAAACTCAAGACGTTCACATTCTAAATAAATATAAAGATATATTTTCTCTTTACTTTGCCTTTTTATAGTGTTATTCGATCAAGGCCGATAAATGCAAATGCAATTGCAATACATGCTTATAAATATATATATATATATATATATATATTATTATATATATATATATATATATATATATATATATTGTTATATATATATATATATATATATATATATATATATATATATATATGTGTGTGTGTATATACAATAGTACATATAAACACATATAATTTAATATATATAAGAAAAACACGTAGGTGGATTTGAATTCAAATCTATTCTAAATCTAATAAACTAGTCACGAATTTCTTTATGATCTCCAGAAATAGTTTTTTATCTCTAACACGATTTTGATATAAACAAATCATTGTTATACCGGTTTAAATTGAATAATTTTATTTTATTTCTTCTAGTCAACGTCAAGTTGAATTTATTTCTTATATTTTTTGTATTTTTTCGTGTATTTTTTGCACTATTATATATTATAATGTATTATGAAATGTATCTTAAAAAACTATTTTGAAAAGCCGAATTGTATGTAAATATGTAGAAATATTGCCAAAATTATAAATCTTAAAATTGAAACTTAAGTGAATTGGCCCAAGCCAATTTTATTTTTGATTCAATCGTTTTGATCCATCAGATTTTTCAACATTGATGTTTAACAAGATTGCTTTGATTAATTTATTGCATTAAATTGTGCAATGCTTGATTCAAAAATATTATCAAGATGCAATAAAATTTTTATTATTTTTTTTTCAATTTCGGAGTTTTATTATTGAAATGAAATCGAAGTTTTTTCCATCATGTCAATGTAGTATACAATGTCCCTTTTCGGCGGACTATTGTAAATTCATTAAATTTACTGAATGTCCTTTACTGGACAGTTGTAAAAAAAAGTTAATAAAAAAAATCGGAGGTTTTAAGAAATATTAAAACTTGTTATCTTTGTTTTGTCTTTGTCTTTTATTATTGTTCACTAAATATTTTAGATATTTGTAAGAACTAAATTATTTTTAACTTGCAAATCTTTCCAGATTATGGTGTTGGATCTTTGAAATTTTCCACGTTAAAGTACAATAAATTGAAGAGCATCTTAATTGTGTTTACGTATTATTGAATAAGATTATAATCGCTTTATAATTGCTACTTCGTCTAATATGCACTTTAATTACGATTCATATGTTAATTACAATATTACAAGCGTATGATTGCATAAACTTTTGTATTATTAACCCTTTCGACTCGGATACCGCCGCTCCGGCGGCAAATTTCATATAAATCTCGGAATTCGCGAATGGAAAGGGTTAACTTTCCATAGGGTAAGTTATAGTAATCGCAAGAAAATCGAAAATGAAAATTTTTATATATCTTTACGTTTCGAAGATTTCTGAATATTTTGGCATACCTTAGAAAAAATGGATGTATGTGTGTGTGTGTGCGGATACAAATTTTTGTCGACGATTTCGGGAACACCGATCAACCGATTTGAATAATTCAGAAAACTTTCGATTCGTATCGATAAGGAGAAGCAAAAAGTGCCAAAAACGGTAACCCAGTTTTTAAGAAAACGGAGCGTCGGATTTTAATAATACATAAAACATTTTACTTGTATTGACAAGTTGAAGATCTGATTAAATTTTTGGGAAGGCAGGTCCAGCGGTTACGGACTTTCAATAAAAATAAGTCAAAAAATGTCATTTGGCGGTCAAAAATATTTATTGGACATATGTACATCAAATTATCTGATATTTCATAGAGATTTTCATAATTTGTACACATTTTGTGTAAAATTTTTGGATTTTGTACCAAGATTCTCACTTTTAAAATTCACGTATATTGTTCAAACAAATGTCCTCGACATTTTTGTCCAACCAATTTGGATAATTTAAAAAACTTTCGATTCGCATTGATAATGAGACTTGCTGATTAGTTTTTGCCGTTTTTACCATATGATGTGATAAATAAATTCGTAAGCAAATTGATGTTTACAGCTATATGCCTATATCATTATGCATTAAGTAATGAATCATGTAAAAATGTTTGCATTGAATAATATTATGTTTCAAATTATATTTAACTATATTGGCAGTAAACATGTCTATAAATTATACGATTATATCTGAAAATTATTTATAAATCTATATATCTTTTTTTGCAGTTTATAACATTTAAAGATGGTCGTGTGGGTGTGAACTTTGGCGGTTATCACGCGTCCGCCGGTCTGGGCGGTTTGTTGACCGGAGATTCAGCTCACGGCGGTCTTCAGGCTGAAGCAGGCACACCGTGGGGAGCACGAGCTGGTGCAGGACTCGGTGGGGATGCCAGTGGACAAGGTAATAATACTAAGACAAAAAAATTATGATCTCAGGATAATTTTGATTGTCCTATCTAATAATCTATCTAATGAAATCTAACGATTAAATAAATGAGTGTTATAACTCATGAGTCGCATCATTTGTTAGTTTAGTAATAATTATTTTAACAGTTTGCGACTAATTGTAAGATGTTACTGACTTACTTTGTAGTATATTATGGAAAATTCTTGTTCGTTGTTATTTCTATACATGAGATAGCCATGTTTGGCTGGTATGTTAAGATCGTACATCAACAACGACAGGTTATGGGTTCGATACCCGCCTTGGTCAGATTGACATCTAGCAGTGCTGATGAGAATAGATTCCTAATATGATATCAAGTTAAAATAATCTTTCAGACAAAAGAAAGAATAGTCAACCACTAAATATCTTCTAGAAATACTAAGTTGAGGAATGTGGGTACATCTTATAGCGTACATAGTTTCTATTGCTCTTCCAATATTAAAAAAGTAATAATAACTTTTCTATCTATCTGAAATAAATAAATTTAATAAAAAAATTAGTCGCATTAGTTGTTAGTTTAGTAATTATTATTTCAACAGTTTTCGATTAATTGTAAGATGTTACTCACTTACTGTGTTGTATATTATTACCATGAGCTAAGCATGGTTGCATTATAAGAAAGTAGATTAACAATCACTGGTTTTGGGTTCGATACCCTCCTTGGCCATATTGACATCGAGCAGTACTGATGAGAATAGATCCCTAATATGACATCAAGTAAAAGTAATCTTCTAGTTGCAATATATATTCACATTACTATTAAAAATACTGAGATTGTATTTGTTTGCGCCGCACCTGCGTAGGTTGTCGGACCTGAAAAAGGTTTGGTTTTCTACTCGGACAACATTTTTCAAACTTCTGAAATTAGGCAATTTCGACCCGATGCAGGCAATAATAGTTCTCTCCATTCGATTCAATTCATTCAATTGTTTCATTCTGTTCCACTCAGTTGTTGCATTCAGGTCTATTCAGTTGCAATTACATTGTTAGTTCAGTAGTTCGTTCAATTCAGTGTTATCAGTTGTTTACATTGTGTGTCAAGTCGACCAGTTATTTTTTTTCTATTTATTGTTATCAGTGTGTTCGAATTAATTCTCAACATTACAACCCGACCACAATGATGTTTCCAGACCCAATCAAGTATACCGGCTTGGACTTCTAAACAGATAACATTTCTATTGAATATTAATATAGTTCTTATTTTTTTGATTTATATAAAATTTATATAGAATATATTTTAGTTTTATTGTATTCATTAGCGCTTATAAAGAAGCACTTCATTTTGAATTTATATTTCATTTTCAATTGGTTTTGTTTTCTGAATTCACTTTAATTTTCTATTCCTCGGAGTAGAAAATACTTCGAAAAGGGTTGCAAAACTCCCCAACCTCAACTGTATTTCTTTTATATAACCTCATCAAAGAAAGAATGGTCAATTACCAACGCTAAGAAACTTCTAGAAACGCTAAGTTAAGGAATGTGGGTACACCATTTAATTGCTGGTAAAGATTAAAAAGTAATAATAATATTCCTATCTAGGTTTAACAGCTCGCACATTTAAAGTTGGTTTGTTGTCCCTTCTATAACAAATTTTTAATTTTCCAAAAATAATGTACCTGCAGGCGCTATGTACGCCGAAGCACGATCTCCATGGGGCAGGGCCGGAGCAGGTCTTGGAGGCGATTTGGCAGCCGATGATGGCCAAAGTGGAAACGCTATACCGCGCGGTTACAAATACTCCTACGCTAGGAGACATTAGTTAGCTTGCAATTGCTATATTATTTCCACGATAAATATATTATGATATTGTCACGATTTATATTAGAACGTAATTTGCACATATTGAATAATAGAATTATGACACATGGAGTACCAAAGAAAAGTCCCACGATGCAACTGTATACCAAATAATTCAAAATAATGTCGCCAAAGAATATCTAAATCCATTAATTTTTATCGAAAATATTTATAATTTATCATAAAAATCCGTTTTTTTTTTGCTAATCTTAATATGTAAATTAACAATTTTAAGATCGCAAATCATTGCAAATTAATTATGATTATAAGTCTGCAATGTATGAGGGTATAAGGCGTTTAGAACAGGTTTCAATTTATCTAACTTTTGTGAATATTTTATTAAATTCTAAACTTATTTCATATCATTCTTGATCAGGTCATATATATTCATACTGTACTGTTACAGATGAATTTTAAATTTTCTTCTTATTTGAATATTTTAATAGTTGCTAATTTTATTGTAAATTATTCCATGCTGACACAATTTATATCAAACTATTTTTTTATTAAGGATTAACTGTATTTTGTGAAATATTCGTCTTGAATAATAATCACCAGAAACTAAATTAAAAATATGTAAAAAGTTTTACACATTTTGAACGCGTTGAGCTCGTTTGACTGATCTAGTAATGTATCATAACTCTCTATTTTTCCAAATATTATTTTATTTTTTGATAAGAAATATATTATATATATTATACTATATATTTTTAGCACAATATACACGCAGTATTTTTTAATTAATTAAGTTTTAATCTATTTTTGCACCTTTCGCACTTAGTTATATGATCACTAAGTACAATGTGCTTTGTATAAATCAATTTAATAATAATAAATGATTTTAAAAGTATTTCTGTTTTTATCTGAAATATTTCTTCTAAGAAAACTACACATATAATTATATTTTTTTCTATAAATTTCAGATGAATCATTTGTTTTTTCCTGATGTAATACTAGAATATTTATAATTATCTTTTTTGCTAATAGTGTAGAGCACATTGTACTTGATCATTTGTTTTAAATTGGACTTTGGACTTTAGTAATTACTATAATAATTAGTGATAAATTATACGTATAATAGCATTTTTCAAAAAAATCATTATGATTCAGTTGAGAGCATGACTTACATTATTTAAAACATATTAACTTATACTAACAAATATATGTGTATCATATCATATTATATATATATATATATACATTCATAAAAAAATCCTGATGCATCTTCACTAATAACTTAGGTTGAAGATTTACTATCCTTGCGCTAATTGCAAGACTAATGAGCAAATAATTTGCATTTCTTGATTGCATTGTAGAAGTTTTCATCTTTTTTTCGCATAAAGATTAAAATAACACTGATTTTTTTAATTGAATTTGTTTCTTATGAGGGTTGCTTGAATATTAATTCATAATTTCACTAACTAGACAACACCACTGTGATCTTTTTGTTTCGAGAACGCTTAGCAAAGGTTTTCAGAATTATTGTCACATGTGAATAAAAAATTAGATTTTTTAGATTGAACGAATAGTTATAGGTTTTCTAAGTTTTTTAAAAGTTTTTGAAATTCTAAATAAAAATGCATCCTTCTTTGAATGGCCAAATATTTTTTTTATTGTATCATCGTCAACAGTGTTAAATTTATAGGTGTTTAAAAAATAACGCTTTGTATCAAATGAAAAATTCTTTTCCATTATATTTGCGCTTGTTTGAATGTATCAATTACAATATATGTTGAATCTATATTTTAATGATTAATTCACCTTCAAAATTTATGTTGCATTTTAATATTTTTTAAAATTTTTAATATACATATTACTCTTAAGTTTGCTCTGCGTATGTAGCAACTTCAGAAAAATTTATCGTTAAAATGAAAAAAATTAATTTAAACTGCATACAAAAAACGTCATTTGTAATCGAAAATTTTGGCAACATACTGATAAATAAATTATAAATATTGATCATTGCATACAAAAATGTCTGGGTAATAAACCAACAATGTTAAATTTTCTATGTATTCATGATTGAATCTACATTTTTTTTAATTATACGCTTAATTGCATTTGTCATCGTATATGCATCAGATGCAAAGTTCCAATAAGTATTACTGATGTAATCATTATTCAAAGTATTATCAAGATGCCCGTCATACTCATCTCATAAACAACTTAGATTATTTTTATCACGACTATAATTATTTCTGCATTAATTTTTATCATAGTTACTGCTTATATTACTGCATTAATCTTCTATCAAAATTTAAGCCAAGGATCCAATTAATAACAATGTAATTTACATTTTATACACAAAGTATTATATTTGCCCAGAATTATAGTTCTAGAAAATTAAATATTACCATCTTCAAACAAAGCTAAAGTTAAAACTATAATAATAATTACCCAGAATTTTGAATAAAAGCAAGTACGTCTCTTTAATTACCCAGAATTTTGAATAAGAGCAAGTACGTCATATATGTCAAAGCATTATCTAATTTTTGCTCGTAATACAATAAATTATTAATCAAGAGTCTGGACTCAAGACCTGATTAATTCACAATTGCACTTTGTAATTGAAAATTGTTTCCGGATTTAGTCAATACTTATATTGACTCACTACTATTGATAAGATAATTATTTCTTTATAGCTGCAAAAAATGTTGTTGTTGAGTTTGGTCTTTTTGTAAAGTTGATCCAATTTAAATAATTGTTGCGTTGAAAATCATCATCATGTAAGATACGATTTGTTTTTAGAAATCTTACTGATATGTAATTAATTTAATAAGAATATTCCATTGCGGAATATCCAGAAGGTTAAAACGTGCGAACAAAAAATAGAATAATTTTTGAAGGTCTACATTTTACATCTTCCTCGTGTTGGATTGATATATTTATGATCGATTAATAATGGTATTTGGTAAATAATATTTTTCCGGAACTCTTCAGAAGAAGTAATAATGTAAAATTTAGCATGTCGCAAATTATTGGTTCAATGTTAGTTGCTTTTATTATGATATTTAACATTCAAGCATAGATATAAAACTAGTCGATGAAATGTTTGGAAAACTTTATATAGAATTTGATAACAGTGAAAATGGAAATTTAGGGATGAACATAGTCTATACTGCCACTTTAATAATTTCAAGAAAATCGGTCCAGTAGAAATTATGAAATCGTATCGAAAAAGGCAGTTTTGATAAAAACGATTTTAAAGTTTTGCAGAGCAAGGAAAGATAGCAGGATTATCGTGGTCAAACAGTTATATCTCCGAAAATATTTTAAAATTTGAAAAATGCTCTTGTACACATGTTCTTGAACATGGCCAAATAGCTATATCTCCATTAATATATCTATATCTCCATAAATAACTTTGAAAATTTAAAATAATCTATTGTCATAAATTCTAAACTTTTCCTTAAAAAACGCTTTTTAAACATAATTCTAATAATTTAGTATCTTGTAAGATATTTAGCTACTATGTAGTATATAGTATATTAATATACATAATAATAATAATAATAATAATATATAGTATATTAATATACATAATAATAATAATAATAATAATATATTAATACATAATTATGTATTAAGAAGCAATCATTTATACCACTGAAATAATATTATCAGTAAACCATCTAGACACGTGTGTTTGTTTGTACTAGGGTTGTATTTATTTTCATCTTTTTTAAATTTATTGCCTGCAGTTTTCTGAAGTTGAATAAAACTAAGAGTTAATATTCAATGAAAATATGAACGATTTGTATTCTACCTAATAACTCTGGGAGACTTCATAAATATACATATGCTTAGCAGTGATGTTAATTTTATATTATATGTTACATATATATAATTTTATATCCAAGTTAATTGTGAGATTTTTTTCAGGCCGAACTTCTGGCGGGCTATACGCCGGAGCCGCATCCGGGTTCGGACACTCAGCGGGCGCCGAACTCGCCGGCAGCACCTCAGCCGAAGGTAGTTACGGCGTTTCTGTTGCCGGAGCTAAAGGCGTAGGAGTAGGTGTTGTTAAAACAGTTGAGGTAAGAAATTGTTATAATAATTTATGATCTAATTTTTTTAAAGGGGGTATTCTAGTCTAGAGGCATCAACTTTATGCGATTTATGAATTTCTTGGGCGAGTTATGTATACGGTATGCAGACAATATTTTTACAATGCTTTTTTAATTTTTAGATTACAAGTTAATGTTTTGAGAATACAAAAAATACATTTTCACATTTCAAGTCATTAACTTCCCGAAGGAGAAGTTTATGTTTTCATAAAAAAATCCGATTCGCTAATTTTAAGTTTTCTCGACGTTTCAAGCCATTCTGAAACGAATGAGACCAAATTTAGAAAAAGTATGTGTGTGTATGTGAACAGATTTTTTACCGTAAATCGACGTTTTTCAAAAACGTCTGGACCGATTTGAAAAAGATTTAATAGCCATTCGATGTATTGCGATGAAGACTAGCGTTTATCAAATTTGCGCGACGATCGGCCAAGCCGTTTCTTTGTAAATCGCAGAAAAGTGGAAAATTTTTCGTCCACGTTTCAACCCGCAATTCTGAATCGATTTTGAAAATTTAAAAACGGTTCAAAAGATATTGGTTGGAAATCGTGCTTATTAGTTTTTGGTAAAGATCGGCCGGGCCGTTTTCTTGTAATAAAGTGTTAAAAAATTTGTTTTCGACGATTTTTATGATTTTTTTTGACGGTAGATACCATAGTCTTATAGATCATACTAAAATATTACTACCAAATCGATTTAAAAAAATCAAGAACTGTTCGAAAGATATTAGTTGGGAATGATACTGATTAGTTTTATGTGAAAATCTACCAGGTCGCCTTCATATAAAACTGCTGAAAAAGAAATTTAAGCCGATTTTTATGGAACTTTTTTCGGCGATATATATCATGGTCTTATAGAACTTACTGAAACATTACGGTCTTACGACAAGTAATTTAATTTTAAAAATTCATCAAAGTTTGAGAAAATGAGTAGTTTTTTTGACGTCTGTTAAAATTAAAATTAGACGATTTACTTGGTATAACAATAAAGTACTTAATCTTAATGAACATACTAAACCATTAATGTCCTACGGAAACCTGGTTCAATTATAAAAATTGTTGATTTTTTAAAATTTGCTTTCAGAAAATACTCCGAGTTAACATGCTCGTTCGTTTTCAATTATGTGTAATGAATTCAATCGGAATACTTTTAATCACTCATAAATTAATTTATTTTTTATTGATTAAGTCGATTAATTACACATATCGGGAAGTTCATGTAACTTGCCTCAAGCCAAAATACTAATACCAACTAGTTTGGAAAGCAACTGCTGTTGCTTTATAATAAATAAAATAAATTATATAACATTATAATAAATTAGTTAACAATAGTAATTAGTGAACATTAGACGGATAAAAAACTGCTATATATTTTGTAACGAGTTTAGTTTAGTTATAACGAACCCTATAGCAAAATGTAATGTTTTTTGTAGAATTTAATTTTCAGAAATTCAGCCAGATTTTTTATATGTTATATCTTATAATCCTTATTATTCTAACGTTTAGAAATTAAGTTCAACATATAACAAATCTAAACTCAGTATGCCATATTTAATGTTATCCATCTGTTAATAATTCTTACTAACTTGCAGGTCGAACAGCCTACACCAGTAGTAACAAATGCCATCAACAAGAATGTAGAAATAGTGAACACTGTAGAAACTACAGCTCCTGTAGAAAAAGTTGTTCCAGCTAAGCAAGTGTCCGTTGTCGAAACCGTACCAGCTGCTCATGCTGGATTTACATTCACAAAAACTGTCCAACCTGTTGCGTACGTCACCAAAACTGTCCAGGCCGCTCCCGTCGTTGCAACCAGGGTTAAGGTCGCAGAAGTGGAGCAAATGACAGAAGCCCCAAAGAAGGAAGTTGTGCAAGAAGTTGCCCAAGAAGTAAGTTTCAAAAGTATAATTATATAATAGCATAATAGAATTTATGTGAAGGTTGTCCAAGGTTTATTAAAAAGTCATTTTAATGAACAATACTAAAAAAAGAGTGCGCTTACGGTTCACACGCGATTGAAGTAAAACTTATTTGCTACTGTACAAGATGGCATTTAAGTAAAAATAAATACATCATATAACAATTTTGAATAATTTTTATTAGTAATATGTGTTACCATATGATATACACATTTATTAGTGTCAACTATTATGCACATTTATATAATGATAAATTATAAATTATATATCTATAATAGCATTAAAAATATTTATTATATTTGAAAACCATAATGTAATTAAAGTCATACTCAAATATGACATGATCGGTTTGCTATTGCAATTAGCATTTAGAAATAAACCTTTATTAGAGAAATGAAATAATTGCTGATTAATAAATTTTACAATATTCTTTCACGCAGTGGATTATGTTAAACAAAACCTAAACAAATATTATTTTCGCAACTTCACTCATCATATAATTGTGCTTAAAGAACTTCATGTAATTAAAATTAACATACATTCAATGACTGCTCGTATTTCTTTTCACTATTACGCTGGCGATGTAATCTCATTCTTTGAACAGCTGTAATATCTGTCTTGCCTAAAAAATATTTTTCATTTCAATAACTTCAAAGATTTATAGAAACTACGTATAATATAGAAATAATTTCTAATCAATAAACTTACGTTTAGTACATTGCACAAATGTTTAATTTGTTTTATTATTTTCAAGGAACTCGGTAAAATATTCTTCTGATTCAGACATTTTTCAGTAAATCAAGATTTGTACTACGATGTAACTTTAAAATGTTTAATTATCTATGCCGATTTCTTTGTTGATATCGGTACGCATACAACGTTGATTCCGGTACGCATACAACGACAGATTTTTATTCGAATACACGACGACTAATCACAATCGACCCGTATTGAAATGATTTCATCGAGAGCGAATGACGTACAGTTCGGGTGTAACGCATTTTCCGATGCATTTGTAGAGATTTACATCCTAGTCGCGCCTAAAGAAGTTTTACTTCAAAAATATGTAAGAAAATTTCAAATATATCTAATATATTTTATTCCTTAAAAAGAAATGCTACTACGTTTCAACTTATTCATTCTGCTAAATTGCATAATGTTATAAAAATCTAATATGTTTTTGTTTTTGATAGGTGCCGCAATATTATAATACAGTTTACTTGAGGAAACGTTTCCGCCCAAGACATTTCTACAAACATTATGGATTCTATCCAGCAGTTCAATATGCATCAAATGTTGAGGTAAAGATCAAATTTACTTAAATGTATCATAAATTTAAAAAAAATGGAATTTATTGAATATTCTAAATTTCAAATTTATATTCTTGCCTTATATTTCGCTTATACGGGATATATGTTACTTGTTAACTTCCCGTAGGTATATATAATATATAAGTTATAGTAATCGCAAAAAAATCGAAAACGAAAATTTTCATATATCTTTACGTTTCAAACGTTTTTGAACATTTTGGCCTACCTTATAAAAAATGGATGTATGTGTGTGTATTTATATATGTGTGTGTGTGTGTGCGGATACAAATTTTCTTCGACGATTTCGGGAACACCGATCAACCGATTTGAATAATTCAATAAACATTCAATTTGTATTGATAAGAAGACATGCTGATTAGTTTTTGTCAAAGGCAAGTCTAGCCGTTCCGAAGATACGGGGCAATAAGTGCCAAAAACGGTAACTGAGTTTTTAAGAGAACGTAGCATCCGATTTTAATAATTCAAAAACGTTTTACTTGTATTGACAAGATGAAGAACTGATTAAATTTTTGGGAAGGCAGGTCCAGCGGTTATGGACTCTCAATACAACCACTAGTCTGTACCACTAGTTTGACATTAACTCAGTCCTATTAATAATTTTCTCTAATTTGAATATACTAATGTATATTTTATGTTCTCTCAGGTTGTTCCAGCACCAGTACAGGCCCAAGTAGTGAAACAGGTATCCATTCCTGTTCCTCCTCCGGTAGTTAGGACAGAGTTTGTAAAACAGGTTCAAGTACAACCTGCACAGGTCGTAAAGCAGGTCGAAGTTCAACCTGTTCAAGTAATTAAAGAAGTGCAACCTGTCCAGACCCATGTCGTAAAACAGGTCTCAGTACCTGCTCAAGGATCATTTGCTGCTCAAGGAGGTTTCACAGTCGGTGGTTCTAAGGGTTTTTTTGATGACATTTTCAACGTAAGTTAGATTGATAAGAATTTATAGGGAAATATTATATTCAACCTGTTACTGTCTGGTACTGTTTAATATTTATTTATTTCTTGATATTATAGATTCCTATCTCCACATTGGGCGCAGTAAATCAATTTCTGAATAATAGAGCCGCTGCTGGTGCTGGTGCCTCTGGAAGCGTACAATTCAGCAAGCAAGTTTATGGTTAAATATATATTTATTTTATCATTTTAATTAATTTTAGTTATATATAATTTAATTGACAATAGAACTAGCTCTCTATGTTCTTCTATGCTTTATGTAATGAATTCCGTCCGTTCAAATTTACTCAATAACTTTTTACTTACAATTTGTTTTGTATAATTTATTATATTATTTATAAGTCGGAATTAAGTATGTACTTCGATTTTAAATATTGACTTTCAAAAGTCTCTTATAAATTTATTTTTGAACTAAATTATTATACAGAGGCTTAAATAGTATAGCATAAGTACATTTTCCGAAACCATCCGTTAATATTTCAAAAGTTGTTAATGTTTTTGTTATGATATATGAATCATTTAGTAATCAAGAGATTTTGGAATATAGATCAAAATTGTAAGATTTATTGAATATAAAATTAAAGAACATAAAATAATACATATATTGTTATTGTTACATATTGTTATATTATGAATATAGCTCTATGTTAATATTCTGAATTGTCGGATACATAATCACATTGTTTGCGTAAAATATAAAACCTAATTTGATTAGTCATTCAGGAGTTGAATGATTCATTAATATGATTTCTAATCAAAGCTTTTCTCTGTTTGTTTTATTTATTATATACCTACAATAACATCAAGGTATTTGCATAGTATTTAACGCTCCGTTGATGGTATCAAACATATTATTATGTGTTTGTATTAAACATTAAACTTTCGTTTACTTTAGATATATTCGGATTAGACTTTATTCCTAAGTCGAACAATAATCAATATTCATGTTTTTTACAGTTTGGAAAATATTTCACAAAGAAATAAACAGAGCAATATGATTTTGATTTTGTAACTGCTATCAGTGTTTGATGAAGCTTTTTGATTAGTTTTGATTTAGATTTTAACATTTACATTTATTTAGCTAACTGTTATTAAGTTTCTATTTACAGAAGTCAGAGAAAACATATTTTTCTTTGTATTTAGAAACATAGCATGACCAAATGTAGTCGATTATTTAAGGTAAGTTAGCCCAAATTACTTTTAATTTTCTATAATACTATTTGTTTTTCTTCTTAATTTTTTGCTATTCAAAATCCTTATCTATTTCTGCTATATTATTTATTTTTGTTTGCTTATTCTATTGGCAGTTATAGCAAGTTAATTAATTATTTTTATCAATAATATTTTATTAATATATAGATGATGCAAATGCAAGTATGGCTAGAAAACTTTTAAGTAATTATACCAAAAAATATATTAAAGTTTTATCAACAGAGTGTAATCAATGTCAATTCAATTACAATCTTTCCATAAATGCGAAACAAATTAGGAAAAACATCTTATTTTTATTACATCAAATTGAGTTTAAAGAGTACAAATTAATATGGACTTTGCAATCACAGTTTGAGTATTTTTAAATCAATTTTGAAATAATACGCTTCAAAACATTTATCTACAAAATCTATTAATTTAATTGAGAATACTCAAGTCCTTTTTGAATTTCTCTAATTATATATATAACAAAGTGAAAGTGTTTTGCAGATTCTTCGATTTCGTATTGCCCGTTCGTCTGCTCGAAGAAAGTATTATTTGTACGTGCCAAACATTTAATTGATTTGTTCGTGGTAATAGAAATTCATTCGCACCTAATCGAACTTATTTTATCGATTTCTGAAATAGATTAAAGGAAATGAAATATTTAATTTATTTTTATTGAGATTGACAAAGTTGTGGCGTAGCTGTTTTGTAACAAACACTTTTTAAAAGGTCCACACTAGTCTACAGCTCTTCCCGTTTGAAATCGATGTGGATAACTTTAACTAAAGGGTTTTAGGGCTTGCTAAAATTAGTAAATAACTATATTAGATATGATGTTTTTGTTTATTAAATAAATGTAATAATAAGAGAGTATTGCGGTATAACCTTGTCGATAAATGTAAAAATGATGTATTTAATCTCTAGATATTTTAATATTATTTATTTATTCTATTTGTTCTTTAAATGACTGTATTTCCTCTATATATTTTTGTAATTTAATTTTTTTTTTAATTTTTGACACATACGAGCTTTATATTTGCATAATATTAGTTAAAATTAAGTATTAAATAAAATTATTAACTACAAACATTTGAATCTCGCGCCCTTTTATCCACCTGATCGTATAATAAGAGTTAATGCTAATAGTAAGGTGACCATATTTTTTAAGTCAATTTTTATTTATGCTAATTTGGCACGCGGGGTGGTAGGGTTTTTGGCTTTAATAACAAATGCTATTTAGTGATACACTAAAAAATAAATGTGGATCTTTTTTTTTAATCGCAATTGCAAACTTTTAGTAAGAACTTTATTATTAAATTATATGTAATACTCTTTTATCCATATTTTTCTTACTTTTGAGCTGTATAAAATTCTATTCAATTTTCTAGGATAAAAGATCTAAATCCGAGACAAATATTGCTTTTAGAAAAACCCGGGACACAAGGTAGAAATCCAGGGCTGTCCCTGCCAACCCGGACGTATCACCTTATAAATAGTGATATTGGTAACCACCGATTTCTTCAGGCACTTTTGTATCTCAATATTAATACTAAAAAATTTCTTATCCAATCATGGGGTATTAACCTTTCTTCATATATCCGGATTGCCAAACGAAACTATATTTACAAAATTTTAATATTTTATGTTATATTTATGCTCGCTGCAATAATAAGTTATACTATTAATTAAATGAACCAAATAAGTAAACAAAACAACATAAAGCGCAGATGCCATATTGCACCATAAAAATATGCTTTTATGAGTAAATAAAAAACTCGACTGAATGAATTAGACTCACGCTTTACACTATATTTATCAAACCACTTGTTCTCTGACCTAAATATTCAGTTACGAAATATTTCTGCACGTCTAATTACTTGTAATTTACAATAATTCGATTTCAAGTATAAGCTCTTCTCTTGGATACGTGACGTATCGAGACTAGCATGCACGTTCCGTTATTCCCAATTGTGTAATATCTTAAAAAATTCTGAATGAAATAACTTTTTCCAGATGACAAAACAAGCGTAACATCAAAATTAATTCATAATATATGTTCTATAATATATAACCTTTTTGGATACAGACATGGAATACATACAAAATACAGAATAAATGAGTATGTATTGAGGTGCTGTTGGTGTAATAAGATAATCATAGAAAACGCGCTGGCACTCTTGAGTATAAAAAAAAAATAACATAGGTAAATTTTACTTAGTTTTCTTTTGCTATTCTTTGTAGTTTTGTTTCCACTGAGGAAGAGACAAGCGTGGAACTCGAAACGTATGGATCTATTAAATTTATTTTGAAAAATATATCTAAATTTCCTTTTTTATACCTAGATAAATGCTTGTTAACAAGTTTTTTGTTTTATCAACTCGTATATACAATATATATTAATTATTTTATAGGTTTGTTGATTTGGTCACTCGCACAAAGCAAAAAAAAGCTTTTCGGGTACACAAGAGCTATTAATGATACCCTATACACTTTTTAGTACATTACGAATATATATATATATATATATATATATATATATATATATATATAGAATTTGTCAGTATGACGAAATTAATTTATATAACCAATTTCTAAGTTTCTTTTTTTTTACAGAAAAGAAAATTTTTTTATTCATATATATTATATTCCTTTCGTCAATAATTTTGAAGTATTTGGAATTAAACAAAAATTGAATACTTTCTTAAAATTAAAATAAACAACCCCTAAATATCATAATTGATAATACTTTGACCATAGGAGTGTGTCCTTGCGTGAATATGGAAAAACTTCCAGAAAGCTGTTCAAAAATACTAAAACTATATATATATTATATATATATATATATATATATATATATATATATATCTAATCGGGTATTGAAATAGTACGTGCTCTGTTGCTAATGAAGGCACGAGGTATTGACTTAAATAGAAGCTTTTCATTGTAATCAACGCGATATATATATATATATATATATATATATATATATATATATATATATTGTATGATTCTGAATTTGAGGCATAACATCAATAAAAAACATGAATTTCTTTCAAAAATTTATTTTAAATCCATACGTTTCGGCTATAATCCTAGCCTTCATTCAGTGGAAAAATTAGTTGATCTTAGTGTTAAATTGGAAAATTTTAATAATCCATGGTATCAGGATATGGTAATGCACTACACTATGAACTTAAACTTTGGATAAATAAAGCTCTGATTCATAAAATTGGAGGTTTATTATTTATTCAAAGTTTAAGTCTGATTAACTAATAATATATATATATATATATATATATATATATATATCATTTTATTTTTTGTAACTTTCATTTCATTCTTTATTTATAAAAATTTTCTAGAGAGAAGTCTTATGAACTAAAATTAGTATTGAAACAAGTACACATAAATTGATAATATACTTCTAGCTTCTTGTACCTTTGGGTAATTGTTAAAAAATTGCATTAAACACAAATTTCTGAATTTATTTTACTAATCTTATTCTTTGTGTTTTTATTATGTCTGTGAAAAATGTTATTTTTGTAAACATTTTATTTTGTTTTTTAAAAATCCTTAATAAATTTAAGGTTTCTCAAGTATAATATATATTTTATATATCTCATACAAATTTATATAATTCGTTCGATTAATCAATTATTCCTATATTAATTTTTACATTCATACATTCTTATTTTTTATAATATTCTATTATTTTATAAGCCGTGAATATATTGATATTATAATAAGACAATCATGTAATAATTGTGTTTGAAGAACTTCATGTAATTAAAATTAACATACATTCATTGACTGATAGTAATTTTTTTACTTTTTCGTTGGCTATATAATCTCATTCTTTGAACAGCTGTAATATCTGCTTTGCCTAAAAAATATTTTCCATTTCAATTACTTCAAGGATTTATAGAAACTACTTAATTTATAGAAATTATTACAATAAACTTATGTTTCATACACGGCGCAAATGCTGCATTTGTTTTATTATTTTCATTATTATTTACGGCGGATAGGGTAAAATATTATTTTGATTCAGACATTTTTCATTGAATCAAGATTTGTACTATGATGTAACTCTAAAATATTTATTTATCTATGCCGATTTTCTCGTTGATGTCGGTACGCATGCAACGTTGACGCCACATACAACGACAGATCTCTATTCACATATGCGACGACTAATCACAATCGACCCGTATAGAAATGATATCATCGAGAGCGAATAAATGAATGAATCATTGGCACTCGAGTCTTATTTTATCTTATCTGCCGTAACGCACTTTCGTTGCATTTGTACGGATTTACACCCTAGTCGCGCCTAAAGAAGTTTTACTTCAAAAATTATTAAACAATGCTTTGGAAGAAAAATTAATAAAAAAAATTATCTTTCACTTTTTATTTAAATTTTGAGTAGAATAAATTTATTACCGACTTCAATACTTATTTCCACTTTCATTCCGCAACGTGCGGTTCCACACTTTCATCTTCTTCAATACATCGGTGTGGTTTCCATTGCAGCACCGTTACAGTCAGTGTCATTTTCATTGTACTTGCAATAATACAAGATTTTTCAACTATTTAAATTGATATTTTAATATAAGCAATGAAATAAATTTCTTATATATATTTTTTTCATTTCTCTTTTAGTTTGTGCGTTACATGTGCTAATATTTATTTAGAATTGCATAAGACGTAGTGAGAAGCAGTCAACGATAAAGGACGTGATTGATAAGAATAATTAAATGTAAGTTTATTTAATTTTTATTGAAACTTTTAAAGAATTTTTTA